GCTCGAAATCTCTGAGCATCGGCGGGTTTGGAGGACGTATTGGGCGCCGCGGCCGCTCCAGAGCGTTCCGGAACGCTCTGAGAGCGCTCCGGAACGCTCTGGAGCGATTTATCCCGATCCTAGCCTTGTTTTATGGTGGAGTTCGGTGACCTTCGGGAGCGCAAAGAGGGGGGTGATGACTAGGGGAGGGACTCGGGGGCCAGGACATCTCCCCAGATTGCACGGCGCCTCTTCTGATTTCAATGCGTCCCCCGCCCCCCCCCCGCCCCTGGGCCTCGCACATGCCGCCAGCCATGATTTGCGCGCTCCCCCCCTTTCTTGGACGCCCCCGATATACATGTTCGTCCCGTCGCTCATGAAGCTCAGTGTCCGCGAGGGTTTGGGCGCAGCCGAGAGAGACTCGTCGTCGGCGCTCGCAGGGAGAGAAGAAGGAGGAGGAGGAGTAGGAGGAGGAGAAGCAGGAGGAGGAGAAGGAGAAGAACGTGGAGGAGGAAGAGAAGGATGAAGAGAAGGGAGAGGAGGAGGACGAGGAAGAGGGGGAGGAGGAGGAGGAGGAAGAGAATAAGGAAGAGGAGGGAGAGGAGGAGGAGGACGAGGAAGAGGGGGATGAAGAGGAGGAGGAGGAGGAGGACGAGGAGGAGGAGGAAGAGGAGGAGGAAAGAGAATATGGAAGAGGAGGAGAGGAGGAGGAGGAGGACGAGGAGGAGGAGTAGGAGTAGGAGAAGAGGAAGAGGAGGAGGAGGAGGAGGAGGAGGAGAGGAGGAGGAGGAGGAGGAGGAGGAGGAGATAGAGATAGAGATAGAGATACAGATATATACACACATACGTATATATAGAGAGAGAGAGGTAGACGAGGGAGGAGGAGGAGGAGGAGGAGGAGGGTGAGGAGAGGAGGAGGAATAGGAGGAGGAAGAGGAGGGAGAGGAGGAGGAGGACGAGGAGGAGGGGGAGGAAAAGAGGAGGAGGAGGAGGAGGAGGAGTTGGAGGAAGAGGAGGAGGAGGAGGAGGAGGCGGATGAGAAGGAGGAGGAGGAGGTGGAGGAGGAGGAGGCGGAGGAGATGGAGGAGGAGGAGGAGGAGGGGACGAGGAGGAGGAGGGGGAGGAAGAGGAGGAGGAGCAGGAGGAGGAGGAGGAGGAGGAGGAAGAGGATCAGGAAGAGATAGAGATAGAGATAGAGATAGAGATAGATAGAGATATAAACATACGTATAGAGGAGAGAGAGAGAGAGGTAGACGAGGAGGAGGTGGAGGAGGGAGAGGGGAGGAAGAGGAGGAGGAATAGGAGGGGGAAGAGGAGGGAGAGGAGGAGGAGGACGAGGAGGAGGGGGAGGAAAAGAAGAGGAGGAGGATGAGTTGGAGGAAGAGGAGGAGGAGGAGGCGGATGAGAAGGAGGAGAAGGAGGAGGAGGAGGAGGAGGGGGACGAGGAGGAGGAGGGGAGGAGGAGGAGGGAGATGGAGGAGGAGATGGAGGAGGAGGAGGAGGAGGAGGAGGAGGAGGAGGAGGAGGAGGAGGAGGAGGAGGAGGAGGAGGAAGGAGGAGGAGGAGGAGGAGGAGGAGGAGGAGGAGGAGCCCCTGGGGCCCAGGATCGGTGGGACCGGCATACATGTAGAAACAGCTGGTACCAATTCCAACAGGAGTTCCTGCTCCTTCTGAGCAGAATTCGCAGTCGGCGCCGCCGCGGTCGTTGTCCACTTAAGGCGCAAGGTCGCCTGCCCAACAGCGGCCGCTGCCGTTTCTCGGGCAATGCTTGTTGGTAGGCATCGCCCACTCGACGCAGAACCCTTCCACGCGCGGCCGCCCTCTCCCTCCCTCCGCGCGGCCGCCCTCGTCCTTCTCCCTCTCTTGCACGCCCGCCAATTAGCCGCTCGATTGCCCCGAATTGCCACACGCTGGAGCGGACCGCATCTGCCTCGCCGCCGATGGGAACAGTTAGGGAGGAGGAGGAGGAGGAAATGGAGGAGGATGAGAAGGAGGAAGAGGAGGAGGAGGAGGAGGAGGAGGAGGACGAGCAGGAGGGAAGGAGGAGGAGGAGGAGGACGAGGAGGGAATAGAGATAGAGATAGAGATAGAGACACATAGAGATATAGGAGGTAGAGGCGGATGAGGAGGAGGAGGCGGAGGTGGAGGAGGAGGAGGACGGGGACGAGGACGAGGACGAGGATGAGGAGGAGGCGGAGGACGACGAGGAGGAGGAGGCGGAGGAGGAGAAGGAGGAGGAGGAGGAGGAGGAGGAGGAGATGGGTGTCCAAATAGGCCCCGTTTCCAGCAGGGCCGGCGCTTGCCCTCCAGCCTGCCGAGAAGGGGCCGGGGGCCGGGCCAGGCGTCTAGACCTGCGGCTCTGCTGGCGTCGTTCCTTCGGCACCGCGCGGTCCGAGTCTGCCCGCGGCTTCTGCCAACTCGACGGTCGACGCTCGATCCCAGGCGGAGGCGGAGGAGGAGGAGCAGGCGGAGGAGGAGGAGGAGGAGGAAGCAGAAGAGGCAGAGGAAGAGGATGAGAAAGCGGAGGAGGAGGAGGAGGAGGTGGAGGAGGAGGAGGAGGAGGCGGAGGAGGCGGAAGAGGAGGAGGAGGAGGCGGAGGAGGAGGAGGAGGTGGTGGAGGAGGAGGAGGAGGAGGAGGATCGCTGCCCCCGATCTTGCGCGCCAGCGGAAGCAGGGACCGGATTTACAACAACGTGGCCTCGGAGGCCAGGAACCCAGCAATGCCCCCGGACCTGGCTCCTCGGAGGGGTCGTGGCGCGAGCAGGGGCAGATGGATGCCTTGCCGCTCGCCCAGCCAACGGATCTGCGCCCCTGCCCCCCCGCCCCCCCTCCCGCGGCCGCCCACGATCGACGTGCCGCTCGGGGCCGCGCCGGCAGGGTGTGCAACTGCTCGCTCGGGGTGCGTTCTGACCCTTGAGCCGCCCGCCCCGTCCTTATTTTCCTTCGGCTGCGCTTGAGTCGGGCACGTCCCTCTGCAGGAGGAAAATTCAAAAATAGCTAAAAAATAGTCTGGGGACGATTGTTCTACTATTTTTGAATATTCTTGAATATTTTTAAGTATTTCCAAGTTTTGTCCAAAAGCCGCCTGTATGGGGGACATGCCCAACCTAAGGCTGCGTCCCTCCTCTCTCCTCCTCATCCTCCTGCATGGTGGCATACTTCGACCCAGCGGTACCCCTGCTCATGCCATACATGGCCAGCGCAGCCGCCCTCGGCCTTGCCGCCGATCGCGTCGGAGGGAGGAGCGGCCGCTGCCATCCCGGCTCGCAGCGCGCGGGGGCCCCGAAGAAGACATGGCGCCTGCGGAGCGCAGCGAGTCGCCGATGCATCGCAGGGGCGTCGACGACCCGGGGCGGGCTGAGCTTTGGCCCGCAGATCGCCGATGCTCAGAGCGTGAATTACCTACCCCGCTTTCGCTTCCAGGAAAAACCAAGTCATACCACGCGCCTCCTCGTCAAGCGACCTGACCAGTACAGGCCGTAGTTTGGCATCGCTTGGTATCTCATGGAAGCGAGGGTGGTCAAAAGCGAGGTAGGTTTGTTTTCCCCTAAGATGCTCAGCCACGCGCAGAGGGGTAATGATCTATAGTGTCTTCTCGTGGTTCGACACTTTGGGGGGTCGCATGGCGAGTTGCGGAAGCCCTGTCGATGGAATGGCGCCGCGTCGGCATGCGGACCACGGGAAAATGCAGGAACGGGAACGAAGAGTGACATGAACATGAATCTCTGAGGTCCGCTCGGATTTCTCGGATCCGCGGTGGACCTCCCTCCCTGGCGTGCGGAGCGCGACACGGGCGGCGCCGGGGGCGCTGCCAGGGGGATCCAGCGCGGATCCGAGAAGTCCGCGCGGACATCCGAGATTTAATGTTTATGCCACTCCTGGATCCGAGAAATCCACGCGGATATCCGAGCTTTTATGTTATGTCATTGTTAGCTTCCTCAGTAAGGCCGACGCCTTCTAAGAAGCAGCCTCAGCCTCAACAGCTTTCCCCCCTCCCCCTGCGTATCCCCTTGTGCCCGCCGCCAAGAGGCAGCCCGGGTGCGGTTTGGGAAGCCCGTCCGCCAGGGCCTGGCGTAGGGTTCAGTCGGGCCTGTCGATTTACAGGAGGCATCTTCAAACATAGTTTGAACATAGGCTGGGGACGATGTTCAAATCATCTGTGAGCATTTTCTGCATTATTTCAGAATTTCTACTTGTTCGCCCAAAATCCCCTTGCAAGAGGACACGCCCGACCTCAGCGTGAGGTGCGCCTGTTTTCTTTCTTAGTGGGACGCCGAAGGCCCATCCGAATTGCGTCGCGGACCAAAGCGCTGCTGCACTGGCATTCCCCTGCTGTCGCCATCCGCGACCGGTCGTCCACCTGAGGGCGGGCCTCCCGCGAGGCCTTTCGTGCAGGGGGCGGCCTCGGCGCTGCTTTGTTATCTCTTTCGCATCGTGCGGTGACCGTTCCGAACGCCTGGGTGATGGGTCCGCAGGGTTCGGGCTGGCCCCTCCTGCGGAAAGGGTGTGCGCCCTTTCCCCCCCCCCCCGCGATCGGCCCTGCGGGCCAAAGCTTCTTCAGGGTTCGAGATCAGCGCGGACGCACATCCGTTCCTCACTGCGTGTTCCTTGTGCTGATGGTGCAGTAGGCCGATCAGGTAAGAAAGTTTGCCTCCCCGCTGGCGGGTGCCAAACTGAGCTGTCAGATTGCCCGGTGGCCCCGATGGCACATTTGAGTCCAGGGGCGGCCCATGAAGTTATTTATATAAAAAAGAACTTAAAAAGTACAAAACAAATAATAATGGGTGGGGGAGATATCAGTGTGACCATTCTACCGTTGGATCTCTTATCGTATCGAGGCTGCTGCTTCTGCCAGTGCTGCCGGCATTGCTGCCGCAGCCGGGGGCGGAAATACTGTCGCTGCCTGCAGCACCCGAGACACCGCGCACTGTGTTCCTGGTGATGCTGCTGCTGCGTCTGCTGCCGCCGACGCTGCTCCTCTCCGCCGCCGCCGCCGCTTCTGCTGACTGCCGTGGCTTCAGGTGGTCGATGATTTCGGCGGCGAGAGCATTACGGAGGGCACCGTCATGGAGTACAAGAAGCAGGTCGGGGAATTCGTGGCGAAAGGGGACATCATCGCGGTCATCGAGACTGACAAGGCCCCTCCAGGGACGCGGGGGCTGCATGGCGTTCGCGCAGGATCAGCAGGAAGATTGTGAGCAGGGAGGAGGAAGAGGAGGAGGAGGAGGAGGAGGAGGAGGAGGAAGAGGAGGAGGAGGTGGAGGAGGAGATGGAGGAGGAGGAGGAAGAGGGAGGAGAAGGAGGAAGAGGGCGGAGGAGGAGGAGGAGGAGGAGGAGGAGGAGGAAGAGGAGGAGGAAGAGGAAGAGGAGGCGGTTGATGACGAAGAGTTCCCCGAAGACGGCGACGACGAAGAGGACGCGTAGGAGGAGCAGTAACTGGAGCAGCATCAGGAAGGAGTGGGAGGAGAAGGGGGAGGAGGCGGGATGAAGGAGGATGAAGAGAAGAATGGGGAGGGAGGGGATGGGGCAAGGACGGAAATCGTCACGCTTTCCGTATCCCAACCAGCCCATTCAGAAACGTTGCCCATGAGAGTTGGTGGGAAATTGGAGGAGACGGCACAAATAGTTATCTGGGTTATAACATTCAGCTTTAACTTTGTGGATTCAAACTTTCGGTATTTTCAACATTGAGCAGTATGTGAGTCGTTAGGTCGCGGCGGGCTTGTGTTTCGAATGTGTGCAGCCTTTTCGTTTCGAATTGATGGTTTTTTAGTAATAAAGCAGAATCGACAAACCAATTTTTTCAAACATGAGAGCCGACGAGTTGTGCAACGTTGTTTATGTCGTCGGGTTTGTTGCAGTTGTCGCAATTGTGCAACTTCTTCGATTTAGAATTGACGATGTGTGCAGCATGTGTGATTGGGAACCGATCGGGCTTCACACTTGTACAACCTTTTTGATGCAGACATTGGGGCTTGTGCAGCTGTTTTGATTGGGAGCGCACCAGCTGTGTAACCTTTTTGTCGTTTTGCCGATTGGGGCTAGGTTTCTTAATTTGTGCAACCTTGCTTTGTTTTGAGGTTGATCGGCGCGTGCAGCTTTTTGAATTGGGCAGCGACGAGTTGTGCCTTCTTTGTCGTTTCGTCGGGCGCACAAGTTCGAGAACCGAACCCGATCCGACACAATGGGAGAAGACTGCGCAACTCGTTGGTTCCGAATCGAAGAAGTTGCACAAGTCGTTAATTCTCGATCAAGAAGGTTGTACAAGTTCGGAGCTTCAGCCCGCCATAACAAAACGAGAACGGTTGCAATGTATGCGATGCTGCAACCTATGTAATGCAAGCTATGCGGTGCAACCTGTGTGGTGCAATGTATGCGATGCAACTTGTGTAATGCAGTCTATGCGGTGCAAATTTGTGGTGCTATGTATGCGATGCAACCTATGTAATGCAATCTATGCGGTGCAATGTACCCGATGCGGCGACGGCGGCGGGCGGCGACGGGTGGCACGGGCGGCGACGGGAGGGGGTGGCGGCAACGAGCGGCGGCTGCGACGGGCGGCGATGGGCGGGGATGGCCGCGACGGGCGGCAACGGCAACGGGCGACGACGGGCGGCACGGCGGCGATTTTGCGGCGAGGGCCCCAAGAATGTCAACCGAAGTCAGAACCCCTAGTGTTGCAAGTACTGTTTTGGGGAAGAAGCTGCAAAAGTGAGCATCTCTCAATCCAATTGGTTGCACAAGTTCTGGAACCGAGCGGGCCATGACAAAACGATGAACACTGCACAACCCGTCGGTTCCCAGTCAAAAAGCTGCACACGTCCTCCAGTCTCAATCAAAAAGGTTGCATAAGTTAGATCACCGAGCCCGACCTGACAAAGCGAAACAGTTTGCACAGCTCGTCGGTTTCCCATCCAACAAACTGCACACGCCGGAAATTCTCAATCGAACAGGTTGCGCAAGTTCGAGAGCCGAGTCCGTCCCGACAAGAGGAGAAAAAGGTTATACAACTCGTCGTTTCCCAATCAAAAAAAGCTGCACAAGTCGCCACACCTCAATCACAACGGTTGCACAACTTTGAAAACCGAGCCCAACCCGACAAGGTTGTACACCTCGTTTGTTCCCAATCGATCAAGTTGCGCGAATCGTCAGTTCTCAATCGGAAAGGTTGCACGAGTTAGGCAACCAAACGCCTGGCAGTACACGCCCGTGAGCTTAGATAATGTACGGGCCCGGCGTTAACTTACGGGATTCCTGGATTTACGAACTCAATCTTAAGGCGAGGTGGTGTTAACATCCCCAGCTGATTCAAAACGGGAAACCCTGGTGACTTGAGAGACCACTGGGAGCAAGGCGGGTGGCCCGGGAGGGCCACGTCGGCCCAACCTTTGGACCCGTGCGGAGGCGAGGGATGGAGGAGGAGGAGGAGGCGGAGGAGGAGGAGGAGGAGGATGACGACGATGAGCAGGAGTGGGGAGGAGGATGAACATGATGATGGTGATGAGGCGATGGATGTGGATAGTGAGATAGAGGAGCAGGAAGAGCAGCAGCAGAGATTCGGACGAGCAGAAGGAAGATGAAGGCTTCCGAGGATGAGGACGAAGAGGGCGAATGCGGGGTCTTGGGGCCCTCCTTGGGGCTCTCTTGAGGCTCTCTCGTGGCCTTTCTGGGAGGCCTGGCGGGCATCTTGGGGCCTCTTGGAGGCCGTCGTTCAAAAGAGGGAGGTCCTCGATCTCCCCCCTCTGGCCCCCCCTTCTGGACCCCCAACGTCGCCTCTCAAGGCCCTCTTGGCGCCCTTTTTGAGCGCTCTTGGGCGCTCTTGGGGCCGCCTTGGAGGCCTCCGGGGCCCCTTGGGCCATTTTGGACCCACCTTGAGGCCTTGAAGGCGCATCGCAAGGGAAGAGGCGAGAAGGCAATACTCAGTCCTTGTCTTTCGATTTTAAAGTGTTTACCTCTTGGGGGGTCCCGATGGGGGCCCCGAGAGCGTTTGGAAAGGTCTTGTGGCCCTCTCGGGGCCTCTTGGAGCCATGATGAGAGGTCATCATGCGGCTTGTGAGCCACATTGGAGGCCCTCCTGGAGCATCGGGGCCCCTCATGGAGCCATCTTGGGCGAGAAAGGACCCTCCGACGCCTCGGCCCCCCCGCAGAGAAACCTCGGGGAGGGGAAAGGGAGGGCGCCCCTCCCCGAAGGGAAGAGGGGTTTTGGAAGAGGGAGGCAGCAATTCGTTAGACCACTATGCCCAGAGGGCTGGCGGGACTACGCAGGGGCAAAAAAGGAGGGAGGGTGAAAGGAGGAGAAAGAACAGGACGGCGACGGCGACGTCGGCGCAAGCGGCGACGTCGCGGAGGAGGACGAGGAGGAGGAAGAGGAGGAGGAGGAGGAGGAGGAGGAGGAGAGTAGGAGGAGAGTTGGAGGAGGAGGAGGAGGAGGAGGAGGAGGAGGAGTAGGAGGAGGAGGAGGAGGGGGGGTGCGGAGGAGAAGGAGGAGGAGGAGCAGGAGGAGGAGGAGGAGGAGGAGGAGGAGGAGGAGGAGCGCGAGGGACTAGAGTCAGGGGAGGAGGGAGCGGCACGGGGCAAGGAGAAGGAGGGGGGGGAATATGATAAGGACGACGGGGACGAGAAAGACGAGGAGGGGGGGGGGCGGCACGGCCCTTACCCCGGCCCTCGAGGTCACCATCGAGGTGAGCGCGATCGAGTCGGGGACCATCAAGGACGGCGCGGCCCAGCCCCCCGACCCTCTCCGGCGTTGAGGAATCCCGACGTGTCGCCGGGTAGGGAGGCTCCAAGGGCCGCCACGAGGGCGCGGAGATATTCGCGATTCGCGGGCTTTTCTCCCCTTCCTCGCTCTCCTCCTCCTCCTCCTCCTCATCCTCCTCCTACGCTTCCTCCTCCTCCTCGTTCTCCATCCTCCTGTTCCTTCTTCTCCTCCTCCTCTTCCATCCCCTTTCTTTATAGATACCTCCTCCCTGTCGCACCCTGGGACGTGTCGGTAGCGCGGGTCGGTCGTTTCGCCTGAGACGTCCTCTCGGTTTATGATCTTGAAGCTTCAGGGTAGCAACCGTTTCACGGATGGAGGGCGTGTGGTTTTCAACATGTGGTTTTAGCTATCGCGCCGTGCATGTTCGTTTCAAAAGTTTGCAAAAATTTCACGGGTGGAGGGTTGTTGATTGTCACGATGATGTTTCCGCATTAGTGCCGCACGCACTTGTTTCAAAAGTTTGCAAGATTTTCGCAGATGGTGGGCGCCACGTTTTCAAAATCGGATTCTCGCTTCAGCGTCGTACAAATCTTTTGACAAGTTTGCAAGGTTTTCACGGATAGAGAGCGGGTGGTTTTCACCATGCGGTTCTCGCGTTGGCGCCGCGCTCATTCGTCTTGAAGGTTCGCAAGATCTTCACGGGTGGAGAGACTGTGGTTTTCAAAATGTGGTTGCCGCATTAGCGCCGCGCACCTTCGTTTTCAGACCGTGCATCAGTTTCACGGATTGAGGGTGGTTCCTTTCCCTAGTGTGGTTCTCGCTTTAGTGCCGCACACATGCGTCTTAAACGTGTGCAAGGGCTTCACGGATGGAGAGTGTGTGGTTTTCAAAATGTGGTTCTCGCCGTGGTGCCCCGCACATTCTTATTACAAGTTTGCAGACTTTCACGGATGGAGGGCGGGTGAAGTTCGATTCGTGGTTTCCGTTTCAGCGCCGCACGCAGTTGTTTTTAACACGTTTGCAAGAGTCTCACAGATGGAAGGCCGCGTTCGTTCATAATGTAGCTCTCGCTTCAGTGCCGCCCACGTTTGTTGTAAGCGTTTCCAGCGCTGTGGCGGATTCTTGCTCCTTGCTGTCCCAGGAATGGTGTTCCATTCCGGATTGGGATTGTCAGGGCGCAACAGTCACGTTGGTTCGCGGAGTTGAAGTCACAGGCATTGTGTCCAGGCGCGGTTCAGGATCATCAGGACGCAGCAGTGAAGTTGATCCGCGGCGTTGAATTGCAAGGAGTGGTGTGTTGGCACGATTGCGGTCTCTCAGGCGATTGTCTTCCAACGGAGCACTTCCACAAGCGAAAATCAGTCCTGGAAGTGACCTGTGGAGAGGGCACGTGGAGGGACGGTGTATCGCAACATCGTTGATGAGTCTTGGGCTTACACTGGTCCTCCTCCTCCTCCTCCATCTCATCCTCCTCCTCTTCTCCCACCCTGGGGACGGCTCGAGAGCGCAAAGGTATTCGCGCTTCGCGCGGCGCGCAACGCGAATATGCTGCCCTTGGGACCAGGGCATGTGGCTGGAGGTTGCTGGACGTTTCGGGTTCTCTACGGGCCTCCTGGAGAGCCCTGGTCGCCGAGGCCAGAGTCCCTTCGAGGGGTGGCCGAAGCTTCCCCCGGGAGCAGTCCGAGCTGGGTAATCTCCGAGCGGGAATTTCGAGGTGCGTATCCGAGACCTCCGACATCGTGTTTTTTTTTGTTCCACGACGTGGGCCCCAGACGTGTCGACCTCTTCCCAGGGCCCGGATTTCTGATCCTGGTCCGCTTTCTTGACGGTCTCAGGGATCGAATCGGACCTCTAGGGCCCGAAACCGTAGTCACTAAGGTCCGTTGTGGTTCTTGACGTCGGCTGATTGAGTTTTGGTGGTTCGGTGATAACCCAGGTCATCGGGTCCCGCTCCCCCATGTGGAATTGCTCAGGTCGTCGCCGGGCGCCACCCGGGTAACCTGAGTTCTCGCTAATGATATTTTTTGGCGGCGCGCACAGGGGGGTAATTAGGGGGAGGGGGGAAGGCTCTTTAGCAGCAGGTTGCTTCTTAGAAGACGCGGGCCTGGTCTGCAGATGTAGGGCCGGCGCCTTCTGCAGCCTCCTTCTAAGAAGCCCTCACCCTCTCCCCCTACACCCTCCCCTGCGCGCGCCGCCAATAATATCGGGCCGAACGAAAGGGGGGGATAGGGAGGAGGGGGTACGAAATCTGCTGCATGCAGCTGGTCTCGGCCCCGCCGCGGGGCCCAGTCCTCGATACGTAGGCACCTCCCGGCGCCGGGAGGCGCTGGGGAAATCAGCTACGTGAGCTGATTCTCTACCCTACCCTTTGCTATCCCCCCTTTTCGTTCCCGCCGATGACAACAAGACGCACCCCCGAGGACGTGAGAGTTCTCGGGTCCTCGCCGCCGGCCTTCGGGCCACAGTCGTAGTCAGGAGGCCGGGGGAGAGAGGGTCGGGGGAGGACGAGGGGGCACGAGCCGCGCGGCGCCATCGGAGAGAAAGCAGGATGATGCGCCTGTTTTCCACCACCACCACCACCGTAAGTTTGAGGGAAGAAGGAGGAGGACGAGGAGGAGGAGGACGAGGAGGATGAGGATGAGGAGGAGGAGGAGGAGGAGGAGGAGGAGAAGGAGGAGGAGAAGGTGCAGTACCTCCTCCCCCTCCAACTTATGGTGGTGATGGTGGAAAACGGGCCCATCACAGGAGGCCCCAACAGCACGGAAGCGCTGGGAACTCGGCGGCGCGCCCGGGGTGAAGGCAGATCGGGACGACCAAAATTCAAGCAGGGGCGAAGCGTCCTGGTTCTTCTATAGGCCGACCAAACAATGTTCTAATAATATTTTCTGTGGCTTGCACGTAGTGCTCTTAGAACATTGTTGGCCGGGGCTGTCTTGTTTCAACACATCGGGCTTGTGTTACAAGAACATTGTTTCTGTTCTTAGAACATTCTGGGTTCTAAGAACACTTCGTCGAAGGCCTATAGGATTACCAGGACGGTCGGTCCCTGCTCAAGAAATGGGTACGGAAAGAATGGGTACCATGCCTAAGAGCAGTCCTTGCTCAATTCGAACAGGACTCGCTATCCGCGCCGTCACGGACGCTGTTCACCGAGGACAGCATGCGGCTTGCCCAGCAGCGGTCGCTGTCGGTTTGGGGCAACCTCTGTTGCTGGACATTGTGCCCATCTTTTCCGTTTCCTTTGTGCGCCCGGAGTAGATGGGGCTGGCTTTGTCAGAATGTGTAGGAGGCCTCTGGCCTTCCGAGAGAGGCTATATGAGACTCTCGGAAGCCGCGGAGGTCTTTTCACAAGCCCCGCCGCCTTCTGAGAAGGCCTGCCCCCTCTCGGACGCCTGCTGGGTTTTGGTCCACCACTCGGCTCTCCAGCGGCCGTTCGGGACGATCCGGGCTCCCCCGGAACGCTCTCGGCGAGGCGCAGCCACTGGGAAAGCACCCCCTAGGCCCTAGGCTGGAAGACCAACGAACCGACCAAAGCGTCCGAGAAAGCCTCGAACTTCCCCCCTCGGCGCGCCGCCGAGGAGCAGGACATTCGCCATCGGCCGTGCGATTATACTACCATGAGTTTGGGCTGCTGCTGCTGCTGCTGCTGCTTCTTCTTGGGGGGTCCCCTCCGACGGCTTGGTGGTCTCGTGCCGAAGCGGCCTCGGACCTGCCGGCCTCTTTTTCCTCAGAGGGGCCTGCTTGCCATCCTGGTTTTTTGGGGGGCCACTAACGGTGTGGTGACCACACCGCGTGGTGAATCAGTCGGGATTGCGGGTCACCACGCGGTTTGGGGCTCAGAATTCTTGTTCAGGGGCAGTGTTAGGGTGGATAGGCTCAGGAGGGTTCGAGGCTCGAGGTTTTCGGGTTCGATGCTCGAGGTTGTCTTGGCCGTTTCGTCGGCTCTCGTCGGTGTTCCAGCTTCGGGGTGCTCTCCAGCAGCTGCGCCTCGCTGAGGGCAATGCCGGGGCTGCCCGGATCGTCCCGAGCAACCGCCCCCGCACCTGCTGGAGCTGGAGGGAGGCCCCCGTGCCAGCGAGGGAGCAGGCATTCTGGGAGAGAGCCGGCGGCCTGGAGCTCGACGCCGTGTTCGGCAGTGGAGCGGTCGTCCCCCCTCCTCCCTCCTCCCTCGGCCGCGTCCCTCCTCCCTCCTCCTCCTCCTCCTCCTCCTCCTCCCTCCCTCCCTCCCTCCCCCTCCCTCCCTCCCTCCCTCCCTCCCTCCCTCCCTCCTCCCTCCTGCATGGTGGCACAATTCGGTTCCAAGGTACCCCCGCTCAGGCCACCTATCGCCAGCGCAGCCACTCTCTGCCTGGCCGCCGGCGCCAAGAGTGTTCGGCAGTGGGGCGGTCGTCCTGATGGACGCAGCCGTGCCACGCGCTGCCGCCGACGGCCCTCACGCCCCACGGCGCTGTCAAGGCCGCCACGCCTGCAGATAGGCCTCCCGGTGCTGCGCACCGCGAGCACTTCACACCGCTGGAAGCAGGCGAACCACCCTGGTCCACGCGGGCACAGCCTGCGCATCTTGGGCTGGGCCCTGCAGCTGCTGTCGACTGGCGCCGATCGGGGTACGTAGCGACTTCTTGGGCCGATGGGTTGTATTTGTGGATCCCTGCTACATCCATCACACTTAAGGGGCCGCCAGGGCGTTCCCCGGCAGCAAATCCACCAGCGGCTCGAAGACTTTACATATTTGGGGAGGACGATGCCATCTGCCGCTTCGAGGCAGAGCATGCGCTCTTCAAGGAGGCATTGGGGGGCCTGGGGAGCTATTTCCACCCCGCCACTGTCGCATTCATGCTGACGCAGTTTCCAGATGATTGCGACGATGCTGCCAAAATACACCTGGTTGAACAATGTGGAGCACTACTTCGAAAGTGACTGGTGCTTCTGCGAGTCGTCCTTGGCGATGCTGACGAAGGACTTCCAGTGCCTCGTGGACCTCGGCGTTCCACCAGAGCGGAGACCTGCTACTTTGGTTACAACCTGCGCGGCCGTCACGACTCGCTGGCGACGACCTGCGCGGCGGGGCGCAGGACGCCCGCCCTGCCCGACGCCTTCGACGCGCAGCTGCAGAGCAAGGGGTTCGCCAACGGCAAGGACGAAGGTCCCCGTACCGCCGAGCTCTACCGCTCTGCGTTCGCGCAGCGCCTCGGGGCCGCGGGCGACCTGTTGTACGCGAGCTTGCGCTGGGGGGGCGAGGAGGCGCAGCAGCTGGCTGCCGTGCTCGCCTCGGGCGCGGCGCCCCGGCTGCAGGCTCTCAGCCTCGTCGACAACCGCGCTGGCGACGAGGGCGCCGCGCGGCTGGCGGAGGCCCTGCGCGCCCCGGGCGCGGTGCCCCGGCTGCAGCTGCTTCATTCCAGGGGGGCGCATTCTGTTCGCATGGGTTGGCGCTGCTGCGATTGACCGTCCAGCTGAGAATAGTTGGCAGTCGCTTGGTGCGTGTGAGGGGAATGACACAAATTACTGCAGTTGCTCCGCCCTGGCGGCAACCCGCTCGGCGAGGAGGGCCGGGCGGCGCTGCGCGCCGCGTGGGCGGAAGTAGGAGTGGGAGAGGGTCCTCCTCCTCCTCGTCCTCCTCCTCCTCCTCGTCCTCCTCCTCGTCCTCCTCGTCCTCCTCCTCCTCCTCCTCCTCCTCCTCCTCGTCTTCCTTCCCCCCTCCAACTTATGGTGGTGGTGGTGGAAAACAAGCCCATCACGCGCGGCGCGAACACCAAAACAAATGATCTTGCGCATGTGCTACCAGTGGCCTATCGCCGATCGATCAGCGATGCATCGCCGATTCCAGCTCGACGTCCCCCCCCCTCACCTGCGACGTATTTCACAGTCTCGTAGGGCAAACACACGTTGGCGCTAACACATGTTCTGAGGATCATCGAAAAACTTCGCCCTCGAAATCCTCCTGCCCCTTTCAGTTCGGTGGAGGACGGCCTTACAGACCCACTTCGCGGAGAAAATGAACACAGGAGGCGGGGGGGGAGAGGGCGAATGAGGCGGATGAGCAGATTGTCGGGAACCTTGGCTCAGCATGTTGCGCTGCTGTCTCTGGCCCACGACGCCTCGGCGCGACACGCTCGCCACTTTGCCTTCGGAATGCAAAGTGGCTAGCGTGTCGCGCCGAGGCGTCAGCGTCCCGAGCCTTCCCCAGCCCCCCGCCACGCGGAGTGGAGCGCCCGGAAGGCGCAGCGTGTCGCAGGGGCCGCCAGCTGCGACACGCTGCGCAGAAGCTCCCGGCCGTAACAGCTCGATCCCCGGCAGTGGCCGCCTGGCCGCGCGTCGAGGAGGCGCTCGTCCCCACGGACGGCACCATCGCCAAGGGCCAGGTCCTGGTCAGGATCGAGGCGGGTGCGGGCGGCTCAGGACCCGCCTGGGCGTCCGCCCCGGAGGCGGGGGGGGGGGAACGGGCAGGGCCGAGGAACACTGGTGGTAGCCTTCGGTCCATCCCGCCGCCGCGCCGGGGCTGCAGGTCGGAAGGCCTCTTGTGGGCATCAGGTGAGGAGCGAGTGGATAAGGAATCCAGGGGCCTGCCAGCGGGTGGAACTCCGATCGTGGAGTAGCCATGGACATAACCGCTGCCCTCATCGGATAAGGCATCCTCCAGGGTCTGCAGCCTCCTGGGCGCTGTTCTTACAGCCAACACCCCCTGCTGGGATCTCGATATGCCTATCGCGGGAGCCTCGTGGGAACAGCTCTGGGGCGTCGTAGGGCCCCTTGGGGGCCTCCTCCTTGGGCCTCTTCTGAGAGCCTTGGCGAGCCTCGCGGAGGCTCGCTGGTGAAACTCGCAGGGCCCGGGGGGCGCTCCGCCGGGGAGCTCGGCGCCTCACCCCCCCCCTCGAACGTAATTTTTGACCCCTGGGGACGGGCAAAGGCGTTGCAAGGGGGGCTTGGCGGATTGATGTCTGTGCTCGATGTGTGGTGTATTCTATGTCTGCCCGTCCTTGGCGTATGTTGCCGATGTATGCCCTTGATGTCGGAGGTTGGGGGGTGAGATCGCAGCGGAGCGGAGACCCCCAATCGGGAAATCGTAATTTTGGACCCCTGGAGACGGGCAAGGGCGTTGCGAGTGGGGGTTGGTGGATTGATGTCTGTGCTTGATGTATGGTGTATTTCACTGATTCCCCACTCAGTGCTTGCACTGAAGGGGTCCTAGCGGAAGTTGAAAGATTTGGCGAAAGTTTCCGGCCGATTTTGGTAGCAGGCTGGGTTCCTGGGCTCCCGGGTTCCCTGTCGATCTCCTCAGCGAAAGCCATCCACTGATTGGGTTTTTTGTTTGGTGAAATGCCCGTCCTTGGCGTATGTTGCCGATGTATGCCCTTGATGTATCATCTGTTCTTGGTCTCTGCCATTCACATCTGTCCTCGGAGGGTGAATTACCTACCCCGCTTTCGCTTCCAGGCAAAACCAAGTCATACCACGCGCCTCCTCGTCAAGCGGCCTGACCAGTACAGGCCGTAGTTCGGCATCGTTTGGTATCTCTTGGAAGCGAGGGTGGTCAAAAGCGAGGTAGGTTTGTTTTCCCCCTATGTCCTTAGTACGTGCGACGGGTGTCGGCGAATGACCTCTGCTGCCGCTGTCTGTGGTCGTCGTGGCGCCTGGACGGCGCGACGCCGTGGCGCCTCTCCGGTGGGGCTCGGCGAGGCGGCACACTTCAGGAGGGGGAACAAAACCCACAGACAGAATTCATCGTCGATCCCCCAGAAAAAATATGGGAAGATATGGGACGTGGGGGGGAGGACAAAAGCCCAGAAAATAGGGGAAAATAGGGGGGAGTCCTTTTGTTTGTGTGTGCATTTCTTTGTGTGTCCCAGGGCCCCTTCAAAATACTCAGGGATATTACCTGGGAGTGCTCTGGCTCGGCGGCCGCGGGGTGCAGGGCCGGCAAGGCGGGATGCCGAGGGATCCCCCGGGATTCTTTGGGCCTGGCGGCCGCGGTGTGTCAGGCAGTGCCAAGGGGGGTCACCACTGGGGGGGTCGCCAGCTTCTCCTGGAAATCGAGGTTCCAGGATGGAGAGTCGAGGGGTCGAGGATGTTCTTGGACGTTTCTTTGCGTTTTCGGGGCTCTGTGGGGCCCAGTTCCTCGAGGAAGTCTCGAGGAAGTGGCGTTTCCTCGGGGAAGTGGCGACCCCCCTAGTGGTGACCCCCCTTCGCACTGCCCCAGTGTGTTGGGCCGGCGAGGCGGGATGCCCGGGGATCCCCCAGGATCAGTTGGGCCTGGTGGCCGCGGTGTGCAGGGCCGGCGAGGCAGTTGTTTGCCCAACGCTTGACAGCCCGCTCTTGCCGGCTGGGGGCAGCCTCGTTCCTCGATCCGCGAACCTCGAGGACGACGACGACAATGATGACGACGACGACGACGACCACGACCACGACGACGACGACGACGACGACCACGACGACGACGACCGACGACGACGACCACGACGACGACGGCGACGATGACGACGACGGTAACGACGACGACCACGATGACGACGACAACGACGACGACGAGTCATGTATTGTCTTGACACGTGGGAGCAGACAGGGCGAGGAGTGACGGTAAAAATTGTACGCCCGAGGTGAATACGGTGACGGTGTGCATGGCGTTTAGGAGGAAGATGAGGTGGATCAGGGCACACACATACATTCATTCATTCATTCATACATACATACATACATACATACATACATACATACATACATACATATATATACGCATACCACACATACATACACACGTACACGTTCATACATGCATATGTACATCCATACATACATACATACATACATACACACATACATGAATCATATATACAATTATACACGCATGCAGTCGTACATACATACATACATACATACATACATACATACATACATACATACATACATACATACAAACAAACATACATACATACATACATACATACATACATGCATGCATGCATACATACATACATACATGCATACACACATGTACATATGTATGCATACATACATACACACATAAATAAATACATACATACATACATACAACCATACATACATACATACATACATGCATGCATGCATGCATGCATGCATACATACATATATACATACACACATACACACATATACATACATACATGCACACACATCATACATACACACCCATACATACATACATGCGCACACACACATACAAACACCCCTACCTACCCACCCACCGACCTACCCACCTACCTACCTACCTGCATACAAGCATACACACTTACACACATACATACGATCATACCTATAATGCATGCATACATGCATACTCACCTACATACCTACATACCTGCATATCTACACACCTACATGCCCACATACATGCATACCTACAAACCTACATACCTACATACCTACACTCCGACATACCCACACACATACATATCGACGTATACACATACAGTCATGCATGCATGCGTACATATATACACATACATATATATATATATATTCACATATATACATAGATACATGCACAAACAGATAGCAATGACGACGACGACGAACGACAGAGGACGGCCGATGACGCCGACGGGTGATCATGTCGACGGACGCGACGGCGGACGACGACGCCACCGATGCAGCCTGCCACAGGAGCGCTGCCCGCCGCGGCCCCGGCTCCCGCGGCGGCGGCGCCCGCCGCTGCGCCAGCCGGCGCGGGCAAGATCCTGGAGCCGCGGGGGGGCGGAGGTCAGGAGGGAAAAACACACAGACACAATGAATCGTCGATCCCCCAGAAAATGTGGGAAAATATGGGAATGGGAAAATATGGGGAATCTTTTTATTTGTGTGTATTTATTTGTGTGTCCCAGGGCCCCTTCGGGAGGGGATGCACAACCAGCCTCGAACTGATGCCTATGCCTGAGATGGGCAAGTCAAAGGCGATGACGATCTGAGGGGCAGCCCCTCAGAAACGGAGGGGATCCTCAAGATGTGTGCCGAGGTGAGGTGATGCCAGACATAGGGAAAAAGGGAATGACAGGGATAGGCTTCACACTGGTAAACGCACGAAGGGCAGGGGGCGTTCGAGGATCTCCTCCTCCCCCTCCTCCTCGCGCGGATCTCTTGGAGCTCGTCGGTCGCCCGCGAGCCCGCTCCAGAGCGCATCCCGGACCCCAGGCAGGCAGCGTGTGCTCTTGGATGCTTCGGGGGCGGCCAAGAGGAGGGTGATGATTTTGGGGGTATATCATGGCGGGGGTCATGATATCTGCCCAGATTTCATGGCGCCCCTTTTTATTTCATTACGTCCCTGGCCTCCCCCCTGGGCCGCGCACATGCCGCCAGCCATGATTTGCGCCCCCCCTCTTGGACGCCCCCCTCTTGGCCGCCCCCGACGTCTGCTGGCGGTGCTGCCTGCCCGCGTGCGACGCCGCAGAGGTCCGCGTGGCCGAGGTCGGCCCAGGACCACCTCCTGGGCGGCGCCAGGCCGCCCCTGCAGTGCCTCGCACGCAAGAGTTCAATCTGGGCCTGTCCCTCTACAGGGAGGATATTCAAGAACAAAAAAACGCAACACTCTGGGGACGATGTTTTGGTGTTTTTTTTGCTATTTGGGGTACTTCTTGAATATTTGTAAAATTGTTAGTCCAAAATCCGCCTGTAGGGGGACAGGTCCGACCTAAGGCCAGGGCAGGTGGAGCAGCGCCGACGCAAGGAATCAGCGCGCGCAGTCCTCCGCAAGTTTGTGTTGGTGCGGTTTGCCCGCTCTTCTTGGGAGAGGGCAGGGAGCAGGGGAGCTTCGTGCAGCAGGCGTGCGTTACTGAACGTGTGCGCGCGTGCATTCACACTCTTGTCGGCCACCACACGCCAGCGGGGTACAGCCTCAGTGATACACAAGAGAGGAGCGCCTGCAGTTCAGCGAGGCGGCGCCGGCGTGGGCTTGAGGCGGCCGCGGGCTGTTCGCGTTGTGTGGCAGGATCTAAGATCTCAGAGCTCTGTATGGGGCCCTTTCGCACGCGTCTCGCGTGTCTAGCATCTTGTGTTGCATTGCACCCTCGAACTTGTTATTGTACTGCTGCTTCTCCAAATGAAAAAAACGCTTCTGAGTACTGTCGCGCATGCAGCGCACGGGTGCGTAATGCATTGCGCGGGCTTTGTTGAATGATGTGGCTCAGGAGCAGGCGGTGACCGACTTCGGCGCCGAGAGCATCACGGAGGGCACGCTCATGGAATGGAGGAAGCCCGCGCGCTCCGCTCTCCAGGCCGACACCAACCCTCAACAGTCGACGCCAGAGGGGGACGATGGATGCTGGGCGAAGAACTCATAACATATGCTTTTCCGTCGTCGGGGACGCTTGTCCCAGGGCGGCTGGGAAGTTAACGTCCTTACGGTGGCAGGTGGGGGCAGTCAAGTTTCCAACCTCCCTGGGACAGGCGTCCCCCGAGGGCGGAACAGTTCATGATCTACCGCTCTTTGCCCGTGCCTGCCCTGAGCGGGCCGGGCCTGCTCTGAGCGGGCCTGGCTTCTCCCTCCCGCCGCCGCCGGGCGCCTCCTCCCTCTCCTGCACGGTGGCCTGCTTCGCCTTCCGTGCATCCCACCGACGCCGGTATCGCCAGCGCAGTGGCTCTGCCTAGCCGCCGACGCAAAAAGTGTGTGTGTGCGTCTGTGCTGTGTCTGTGCTCTGTGTGTGTCGGGCGGGTGGCAATGGGGGGTGACCCACGTGGGGGGTGAAGGGAAGGGCCCCGAAGGGGGCCTACAGGGCCTTTTGGGGGAGCCAGCACGGGCCCAGCAAGTGCCCTAAGAAGGGCCCCATTTCGGGCCCTTCTTGTCACCCTCAAGGGCCCCTTTTGGGGCCCTGTCGCTTCCCCCCCCCCCCAGCTGGGTCAACCCCACTGCCGCCCGCCCGAGTGTGCAGCCTGCACGCCTCAAGCATTCTGGGAGCCGTCCGACTCGCCCACCCGGCTCCCCCCGAGGTGGGGGCCGGTCTGCGCTTGACGAACACTCTGCAACGGAAAGATGCTCATGTCACGGAATACCTCTTGGAGGTGGCGAACATGTCAAGCGGTCACAATGAACAGTGGTATGCCTGAAGCGATCCAGGCAGTCTTCGTATCTGCAGACGTTGGATCCAGACGTTGGATCGACGTGGCCAGACCAAAGCGGAATGAGCATGAGCTGGAGCGTGGCGTTGTGCATCACGAGTGGAGTTGTTAGCCCGAATACCTTTGCCTGCCGCTTCAGATTATCTGGTTCTTCGGGCTGTCCGGCCCTGTCCCGCTCAGTCTCTTCGCGTGGACACTGGACACTCCTGCGGGCACCGTCACCGTCACCGTTGCATCGAATTGTTTGCAGAAGGGTTGACGGCAAGACATCGAAATGCCAGCGAGAGCCACACGAAGGAAACACCAAGTGTGTTGGTGTGCCGTATGTGTATGGAGTGTTTTTGCGCGTGTGTCGATGATGGTGTTGTTTTGCTTGCTTGTGCCCGCAGGTGTGTCATGCGCGTGCGTGGAACAGTTGCAGGAAGCGACGGGATCAATACTTCCTGCCAGGGGAAAAGTCTCGACCCTGCGCGTATTCCCGCCATCCCCTTCCTGCACGATTCCTAGGGGAATTAGTGGGACTGCAGGAGTGCAGTGAAACAGGATCTGGGGGGGGGCAGGACTTCAGTCATAACGAAGCTGGGGGCTGCGGGCACCGATGGGCACCCTTTCCCCGAAGAGAGTGAAGGTTTTTGTTGGAGAAGCTGGTCCGCTCGACCCCACCTGCGCCCACGGGTCTGCTGGGGTGACCTGAAGAGTCTTGCCATGTTGAGTGGCCAATGGACAAGCCGGGCTCTGGAGAATGAGACCCGTTGGCAAGAAGGCATTGGCTCTTCGGGCGCGGGATCTGATTTTGCGGCGGCGATGCCTACTATTTCTACTTTTACTACTACTACTGCTACTGCTGCTACTACTACTACTTCTTCTTCTACTACTACTATGGTTACTACTACGATTACTAATACTATTACTACTACTACTACTACTACTACTACTACTACTACTACTACTACTACTACTACTACTACTACTACTACTACTACTACTACTACTACTACTACTACTACTACTACACTACTACTACTACTACTACTACTACTACTACTACTACTACTACTACTACTACTACTACTACTACTACTACTACTACTACTACTACTACTACTACTACTACTACTACTACTACTACTACTACTACTACTACTACTACTACTACTACTATTATTCCCCATATCCTAAGATGGGGTTCTTGTTGTTACTTGGACGCCTCCTACTCCTCCTCCTCCCTCCTCCTCTTTTCTCCTCCCCTCCTGTCGGACTTACTCATACACAGACTTACTTATACTTAGATTTACTCATACTCAGACCTACTCATACTCAGACTTACTCAAACTCAGACATGCTCATACACAGACTTACTCATACACAGACTTACTCACACCCAGACGTACTCATACACAGACTCACTCATACCCAGACTTACTCATACACAGTATTAGTCATACTCAGACTTACTCATACCCATATGTACACATACACAGACTTTCTCATACACAGACCTACTCATACCCAGACTTACTCATACACAGACTTACTCATACACAGACTTACTCATACTCAGGCATACTCATACTCAGACCTACTCATACTCAGACTTACTCAACACACATCAGATTTGGAGGATGTCTCAGGCGGGGCGCTCGTTGCAGCACCCCGAAGGGTAGCCGCCAGGGGTGATTGCACGGGTTCGTTCGCGGCCATTTTGTGGGGATGTCTCAGGCGGTTTGCCTGTTTCTGGGCTCAACATCCTTCGCTTTCGGAGCAGATTTGGAGGATGTCTTGAGCGAGGCGCTCATGTTCACCCCCCAGGTGGGCCAGATCTTGAGGATGTCTCGATCGGTTTGCTTGTTTTGGTGGCCAGGCTCGTGGCCCTAAGGGTAGCCGCCAGGGGTGATTGCACGGGTTCGTTCGCTGCCATTTTGTGGGGATGTCTCAGGCGGTTTGCTTGTTTCTGGGCTCAACATCCTTCGCATTCGGAGCAGATTTGGAGGATGTCTCGAGCGAAGCGCTCATGTTCACGCCCCAGGTGGGCCAGATTTTGAGGATGTCTCGATCGGTTTGCTTGGTTTGGTGGCCAGGCTCGTGGCCCTAAGGGGAGCCGCCAGGGGTGGTTGCACGGGCTCGTTCGCGGCCATTGAGTGGGGATGTCTCAGGCGGTTTGCTTGTTTCTGGGCTCAACATCCTTCGCTTTCGGAGCAGATTTGGAGGATGTCTCGAGCGAGGCGCTCATTTTCACCCCCCAGGTGGGCCAGATTTTGAGGATGTCTCGATCGGTTTGCTTGTTTTGGTGGCCAGGCTCGTGGCCCTAAGGGGAGCCGCCAGGGGTGGTTGCACGGGCTCGTTCGCTGCCATTTTGTGGGGATGTCTCAGGCGGTTTGCTTGTTTCTGGGCTCAACATCCTTCGCTTTCGGAGCAGATTTGGAGGATGTCTCGAGCGAGGCGCTCATTTTCACCCCCCAGGTGGGCCAGATTTTGAGGATGTCTCGATCGGTTTGCTTGTTTTGGTGGCCAGGCTCGTGGGCGCAGATTCTTCTCAGGATGCCACAGGAGGCTCCAACAGGCTCCAGGAGGCCCCAGGAGACCACATGAGGTCCCAGGAGGCATCAGGAGGCCACAGAAAGACTCAAGAGGCCACAGGATGTCCCAAGAGGCTCCAGGAGGCCCCAGGAAGCTCCAGAAGGCCTCAGGAAACCACAGGAGGCCCCAGGAGGCAACAGGAAGCGCCAGGAGGCCTCGGAAGGCAACAGGAGGCCCCGAGAGGCCCCAGGAGCAGGAGGCCTCAGAAGGCAACAGGAGTGGCTCCAATCCCATGTGTTTTACGTATGCTCCTATCGATTGGGCCTCACCTGGAGCACGATTCTTTGATGTTCTACGTATGTTTCTATAGATGGTCCTTCTCCTGTGTACACAATCCTAAATGTTTTACTCATGTTCCTATGTATTGGGCCTCTCCTGGGGCACGAGTCCTTGGTGTTTTACGCGTGTTCCTATAGATTGCCCTTCTCCTGTGGCTCTAATCCGCAATGTTTTATGTACGTCTGTTGCTATAGATTGCGCCTCTCCTGGGGCACGAAACCTTCCTAGGAGGTCCCAGGAGGTCCCAAGAGGCTCCTGGACACCCCAGGAAGCCCCAGTAGGTTTCAGGAGGCCCCAGGAGGCCCCAGGCTCATGCACAGAGACGCGCTCGTACTACTGAGGCTCATTCACACTCCAATTCATTCGCAGTTAGATTGATGTCCAGATCGTCACAACTGAAGCCCATTAATATTCGAAAGTTCTTGCGCCTAGACATTCACGGCGGACAGGTCCATGCGAGTAGATGCACGTATGGGGAGCTCCACGCAGTGAATAATTATTTCTGTTATTACAAGTATTACTACTACTTCTGTTAGTACTACTACTACTACTGCTGCTACTACTACTACACTTCTACCACTACTACCACTACTACCACCACTACTACCACAACAACTACTACTACTACTACTACTACTACTACTACTAGTACTAGTACTAGTACTACTACTACTAGTACTACTACTACAACTACTACTACTACTACTACTACTACTACTACTACTACTACTACTACTACTACTACGACTACGACTACGACTACTACGACTACTACTACTACTACTACTACTACCACCACTACTACTACCACTACGACTACTACTGCTACTACTACTACTGCTACTACTACTACTACTACTATGTCTGTTATGCCTGCTATGTGTACTATGTCTACTATGTCTGTACTACTACTACTACTACTACTACTACTGCTGCTACTACTACTACTACTTCTACTACTACTACTACTACTACTCCTACTACTAACTACTACTACCTACCTGCTACTTACTACCTCCTACCTGCTACCTACTACTACTACTACTACTACTACTACTACTACTACTTCTACTACTACTACTACTACTACTACTACTACTACTACTACTACTACTACTACTACTAGTACTACTACTACTACTACTACTACTACTACTACTACTACTACTACTACTACTACCTACCTACCTACCTACCTACCTACCTACCTACCTACCTACCTACCTACCTACCTACCTACTACTACTACTACTACTACTACTACTACTACTACTACTACTACTACTACTGCTACCTACTACTACTACTACTACTACTACTACTACTACTACTACTACTACTACTACTACTACTACTACTACTACTACTAACTACTACTACGACTACTACTACTACTACTACTGCTGCTGCTACTACTACTACTACTACTACTACTACGATTACGACTGCTCTTACAACCGCTACTACTATTGGTCACGTGTGGCCCGAGCCCCAGCCAGAGAACACAGAGGCGGAGGATGTCTGATGCCGCGTTGTTCTGCTTCGAGTTCTGCTGCACTCGCCGTGGGCCGACGCCGGCCCGCTCCTGCTCTCAGTCAGCACCCTCCCTCCAGGTTGCCTGGCCGAGCCGCTGCCAACTCAACGTTCTAGCAGCAGGTACGACTGAGAAGCAGGTCTTGCGGCAGCAACGGTAAAGGGGCCTTCAGGAAGGGGGCATCAGTCTTGGGGTGGCAGCGGGGCGAGAGGCAGGAGGCCCTGCCGAACTCCCAATCCTACCTGGGCACGTCTGCAGCAAAAGCCCCACCAGACGAAGAGAGTTCGACAGCTTCCTCGGATGCACCCGAGAGAGACAACAATGGCCCCCTGTATCATTCAAGGCTTGGCGCTCTTGCAGATTACCGGCCCGCAAACGGGTCATCACCGAACTTTCTGCTGTCGCTGCGGTTCAAAGAAGCCGCAAGGCGGTTCCAAGCGAGCATCCATCCAGCTTGACAGTGAATCGATTCAAACGTGTTTCATTAGATACTCGATCCCCCATTGCATGAGCTCTTGGTTTCATGGGCACGAGCATGGGCAACGAGAAGGAAACATTCGGAAACATGCACGCTTGTATGGAGTCACGTCGTAGTAGATGGAAGTCGACAGTGCACGCACGGCAGATGTCGTTGCTAGCAGTCCGTTTGGGCAGTGTTGCGCCCACCGTTCGAGTCTATCAGATCCAGTACCGTCTATCCGGTTGCGAAGTAGACGTGGTCTGAGTTGCGAGGAACGCGTCGACGGGACACGTTTCAGGGAAGCGCGGCCAGGAAAAAGGTTGGCGACCTCGTGGCGAAGGGCGAGCTCCTGGCCGTCGTAGAGACGGACAAGGTGTCCCTGGAGGTGAAGGCCGAGGAGGCGGGCGTTGTCAAGGATCCGGGGGCATATATCATTAAGTCGGGCATGTCCCTTTACAGGAGGAATATTAAACAATAGTCCACACATAGTATGTGGGCGATTTTCCTTTTGATTTTTGATTATGTTTTAAAAATATGTGTTGACTATGTTTCACTTTTCCTCTACAATCCGCCTGTAGGAGGACATGCCCGACTTAAATCAATCGGGCGGGAGCATGTGCACAGGAGCTAAAGCTCGCCGCGAAAATAAGCACTTGGGCGGCACTTGCAGACAGTTCGCTACACGTGACGGCCTGAGATCGCAACCTTGGGCTTGCCTCGAGAGCTTGCAGCTCACAGCCGAGGAGGAGGGCAATAATGGCGAATACGATGAGGAGAAAGTGCGTCGGTGTGTAACGTGGATCGATCGGGACGGCGGACCGGCGCGTACGCGAGATAGCGAGATCGTACTCTTCGCCCCCCTCTGCTCGTGGTGAGAGGCGTCGTGATGTCCCCCATCCACTTTTGGAGGGGCTCGTTACATGCACCACGACGATTGGCTGGCCGAGAAGCCAAGTAATTCGGCGAACGAATTCGACATGTGGTCGCGTCTGCACTCCCACACCTTGGGAGGCTTAGGTGCCTGTATACCGAGCTCCTCGGCCCACTATGCGGCTTGGTGTATACTTCGAGACCCCCCGACGCCTCCACCTCTTCGCCGTCTTCCTCCTGAAGCCATGCACGCTTTCCCTGCCCCGGCGGATGACGGGAATCGCGAGCTTAGACTGTCGCGCGATGGACGTCGCACGTCGACCTGGCGTGATACATACTGCATGTCGTTGTGTCGGCGCGCGATCTTGCACAGCTCGTCAGACTTCGCGCGCTACCCGCTCGTGCCAAGAGTCGGGGGCGGCCACTTTGGGGGTTTGCTGACCACGGGTGCGGGATGCCATGGCCGGGCCCGTGATACCTCGCGGGGCCATGACATCCCCCCTGGATGTCATGGCTCCGGCGGCTCGACAGCCGTCCCTCTTCATGTTGAACCGGATTCGCTGTCGGTGCCGCCGCGGGCCTTGTCTGTTTGAGACACAGGGCCGCCTGCCCGACAGCGGCCGCTGTCAGTTTTGGACAACATTTGTTATTGCACACCGTGCCCATTTTCTCTGTACCCTGATGTCGGGCCTGTCCCAATCTGCAGGAGGCAATTTTTTTCACAGGTCACCAGAATGCCATGAGGACGACTTGTTTCCGTATGTTTGGGTCTTGTTGCTGATGCGTGTTCGACTATTTCAGATGTTCCGTCCAACATCCGCCTGTAGGAGGACACCAACTATACACCAACACCGATCCTGGCCAGGATCGGTGTTGGTGTATAGTTGGTGCCTTCCTACCTGTAGGAGGACACGCCCGACCTAACTTTACCCACTTCCGGGGGCCCCAAGAGGCGCTCTCTCGCGCGCGCGCCCGCGGCTCCCTCTGCGCAGGGCGGCGGCGGTGCACCGCCGCCGCGACCCGCACCGCCGCTGTCAAAACATAGACATAAAAAAGTATATAGAAATACGAACTTATCCTGAATAACGAAAAAAATGAATGCCATAGCAAACTCTACAGAAGCTGATAGTATATAACCAAGGTTATAAAGTCTCCCCGCGCTCGGAGGAGGAAGAACAGGTAGAGACACTGCTGCCCCTCGTGTGGGCCCCGGAAACGACAGGGCCGTTTTTTTTACTGGTTCCGTTCTGCCGTTTTCGGTTGCCGGTTTCGACGCCGTTTGTTTTTACCCGTTCCGTCGCCGTTTTTTGGTTACCGGTGCCGGCTCTGGCTCCAATCCTGGAGCCGTGTGTTTGCCGTTTCCGGTCGCCGTTGTTTCGCCGCTGCCATTTGCAAGGGACATTTTTTGTTCGGGAGCGGTGAAAACACGGCCCTGCCGTTTCTGGGGCCCACTCAGCTGCTGTCCTGCGCCGACTGTCCCCTTTTTCGGCCTCGAGGCCCTCGTCGCCACCTCTGGATTCGCCCCAGAATCTTTGTCAGAACGCACACCCAGGAGAGGTCCGGGGAGTAGCTGTAGCGGTACCCTCTTGGCTTCCCCAGGCACACCCCCTCCCGCCAGCCTCAGCTGTTCCTGAAAGCGCTGGGGGCGTGTCGCCCGCCCCCCCCCGTTTTCCTTTTGTTGTTGTTGTTGTTGCTCTTGACTGGATTGTGGACGTCGGGCAGGCGGCATTGACAATGCCGCCTGCCCGACGCGGGTCAACGTAGGGCGGGGAGTAGACCCTGCAGTAAGACGTGCCAACACACATGAGCAAATGAGCAAAAAGATATTCTCGTTTACTCGTTGAGTTTCAATTTCGGTGTAAACCACTACTGCAGTCGTTTCTGTTGTCAGAGCGTGATACCTGGAATATCAAAGACGTGTTGGGATCGGGCAGGATGCGATCAGGCGGGCCCAGGGCCGATCCCGGACCCGAAAGAACGTAACGCCCACGGGGCCCCGAACGGAGAGAGGTCGGCGATCATGAGAACGGGGAAACCTCCCCCAGCGTCGTTGAGCTGATCTGAGCTTGAGTCGGGCGTTTCCCTCTACAGGAGGGATCTTCAAAAATTGTAAAACATAGTCTGGGGACGATGTCTGGACTATTTTTGAGATTTGTTGTGCGTGTTTCTAATTGTTTGTTCAAAGTCAACCTGTAGGGGACATGCCCGACCTAGATCTAAGCTCTCCAGCTTCGCTTCGGCCCGGAAGTCGCCACCCACCAAACCACCCCAATCCGACCCGAAGGCCTCAATTTGCCCTCCCTTTCCAGTGGGGGGGGGGGGGTCGGGGAACACGGAAAACACACACGGCACCCGCACCCCCCCCGACTCGAAATTCGGGTAGATTGGAGAGGCCTGACGGCCGGTGCCGCCGACCCTGATCGAAAGGGCTAGGAGTGGGGGGAGGAAGCGGAGGATGAGGAGGAGGAGGAGGAGGAGAAGGAGGAGGAGGAGGAGCATCGGGTAGATTCGGGTCTTCGGGTTGGGTTGGGGGTGGTCTGGCAGGTCGTCGGGACGCCTGCTGCCGAGCGTGGCGCGCCGCCGGCTCTGGCCCACCACGCCCAGCGAGGCGCGTGCCGGCGCGGCCTGCGACCTTGTGCCGCGGGCGTCCAAGGGTCGAGCGCGGCCCGTGGCTCTGCCAACGCGGGACGCTCTGGCGATCGCAAAGCCGCAGGTCGTCGGAGGAGGGGAAGGTAATTACCCACGCTTCCACCCTTCCCTCGGTTCCCCCTTTTTGGGCCTCCTGGGCCTCCGTCGTCGCCACCGCTGGGATCGCCTCGAAGTCCTGGTCCGAACGCACCCCAGGAGAGATCCGGGGAGTAGCGGTATCGGTACCTTTTGGCCTCCCCAGATCGTTCGAGGTTGAGCACCATGCGCGGTGTCAGAAGCCAACGGCGGGGTCGTCACGACACGAACCCAGCGTAGTGAGCTTTGCCACGCGCTGGCTCACCCAGGTCACGTTGCCACTCGTGTTCTTGACGAGCTTGTCCTCATCGAGTCTCCTTCCCTCTCCCTCCGACCACCCTCTCCTCTTAGCTCTGCTCGTGCGGGACCCTGGTGGGCGCGCCAGTGCTGATTGGCCTCCGCACCCACACGCTCTCGCCTATCCTCTATTTTCTCTCGTTCAGGGCGCTCAGCTAGGGGACTGGCCAGGGTGTGCCGTCTCTCTCGCCCCCTTCGTTCTCCGCTGCTCCTTTGCTCGTTCTGCTGCCTCTTCCTCGCAGTTTTGCCCCCCCATTCAGGCCTCCCCTTGTCCCTTGCCTCTGGCCCCTGCCATCCTTCTGCTGTCTTCGCTGCTTTGTTTCTGTCTTTTGTTGGCGAGTTTGCGCTTTCGGCAGCATCTCGTGTGCTTTTCTTGGCTTGCCCAGTGCTCTTCAGTCTCAGGCCGTGGAGCCATCGGGTCAGTGGCTGCGGCTAACGGGGGGAAATGCCTGGCCACGCGCGTGCAGGTACAATATGAGACCGTTCTCCCCGCCCTCCCCTCCCCCCGCCTCGCTCTGATGTCCACGTCCGCCACCTCGGTGCCGCTCCCAGGGATCTCGAGGATCTCTCGCGGAGTGGCGGGCGTGGATATTTGCGCACCCCTGAGGGCGGGAAAGTACCCACATCCTTAGAGAGTGAATCCCAGAAGCCTCCGCTCGTCTGGGATTGAACGTATATCGGCGAATAGCGCCCCATGGTGATCAATAGCGCTCAAGAGCGCCCTGTAGCGCACGATCAGCGTGCAGGTGTAGCACCCAGATGGCGCCACAATAGCGCCCAGAAGCGCCGCGCGATGGAGCTGCATCATGCCCCGCGCTGCGCGCGACCGAGCGCGCTATGAGGCGCCATGACGACGACCGAAAGCTTCTGTGAGCTGCTTTCTGAGTTCTTTGCTCCTCCCTTGTCTGAAGGTCAGGGAGGAGGTGGGAATGAGAAGGATGAGGAGGAGGAGGAGGAGGAGGAGTTTTCTTAGTGCTGTGCTCGTTCTTCCCCGGTGGTCCCCTGGCAGTGCCGCGGCAGCCGCGGACGCGGATGCCGCCCAAGGCGCCGCCGGGCGTGGCGCGGCCAGCGTGTGGAGCCGTTCCCCCCTCCTCCTCCTCCTCCTCCCTCCTCCTCCTCCTCCTCCTCCTC